TTATTTTTAGAACATGTTTCAACATTTTAGCTTAATTCAAAGTCATAATAACTGACAATACTAATGCTAAGCATAATACAAAGAAACATAATCTCTGTTTATCCATGTGTTTATATTGCTACAAAAATGACTGCTGTGGTTTATGGCTGTGCAGTTATATCACAGCATGTGAGGTATTCTCTTCTATATCGAAGATGGGCCTGTTTCTGTATAGTTCTTACAGGAAATTTGTCTTGAGCTTAAAGTCACTGCCACTCCGAATATTGACTGCCAGATGATGCATTGAAGTGCCAAAGCTCACAAAGTACGGAAGTACACTCAACAAATCAACCCTACAAATCAGGAACGTTTAAAAGACTTTTGCAGGCTTCTCAGTTTCTGAGGCTGTGAGAATTAACGCTTAACAGTGAAATGGACAAATAGAAAACTTTTCATCAAACTAAGGAAAGACACGTAATTGCACATCTATGCAAATGCATCATGTAGTAGAAAAATCCTTGCATGGTTTTTTTTGTTTAAATTGCTGTTGTGAGGGCAGTAATTAGTCATTAGTAATGAAAGAAATGACGGTGAATGGTTAACTGGAATGTGCTGTGCCTGCTCTGTCCCTCTGTAGACGTGCAGTACAGTGGAGTGCTGGCAGCTGCAGTGTAATGTGGGGCTGCTGCAGAGAGGACGAAGTGTCATCCTGACTGTACGCTCAAGAGTCTGGGCTGAAACGTTCATGGAGGTGAGACTACAGGTCTTTGTACTCTGCATTACTGCTCTGTAGTGTCAGTCATGTCTCAAGTTTGAGAAGAAGAAACTCAACTAGGGAGGAACAGACTAGAGCGGATGAAGGCGAGAACCTGCAGGAGTGTGTGCTCATGCTGCCCTCTGTCGACCGACAAAAACAGACAGTGTGTCTCATCCACATTACATCATTATTCATACCTAACAGTTTTCCTAATGAACTTAATAGGCTTTCTACTGTTAATTGTGACATTTTATAATTAAATTTCGATCCTACTATAACCCACAGTACAGAGTAGAATCAGAATCAGAAATCAGAAAGGGTTTTATTGCCAAATGTTGAGCAGGTTTACAACATTAGGAAATTGCTGCGGTACTTAGTGCAAACATACTGTCATATAACGCTTAAATAGACATGAAAATAAAAATAAGAATAAGAATTAAAAGTGCTAAGTAGATAGATATATACATGAGTGCAGGTGGTGATCATTGCCAAACATGGAATGATGCAGTGAACACAGCGTAGGGTCATGTGTTAGTGGTGGGAACAGTCATACGGTTATTGTTCATGTGTCCAACAGCAGAGGGGAAGAAACTAGGGGGGAAGAAAAGTAGATGATGTGTGGAACAATAAACTAATATTTAAAGAAATAGTACAAAACTGATGTCGCAGAAATCACAGAGGCTTTTGATTTTCCTTAGATACAAAAAAGTTTCCTCACTAAACTTTTGTTTATCGATCGTCCACAGCGAGCCTATAAGCAGTACACGCTGGAGTGCTCCGTTCACTTCAGCGTGGACAGGATGCCGTATTCTGTTTCTCCCACATTAAAGCCATCAGGATCCAAAAAGGTAACATCAACAGCTTTTTTCTGCGTTTTTTACAACTTCACAAGCTTTTTAGATTTTTCATTTACAAATGAAAATCAGTGCACGGTGGATCAGTTCTGCGGTTTCCTGTTGTTCAGGTGGCGACTGCTGTGATGTGGAATAAACCCAACAGTCAGTACTCGGTTCCTGTGTGGATCATCATCCTGGCTGTTCTAGCTGGGTTGCTGTTACTGGCCTTGCTCATATACTTACTTTACAAGGTAA